GGTATTAATTAAGTGATAGTCAAGTTATTGAGACTAAAGTTAAATAGTCTAGCAAAATAACAAGAATACAGTGTGAAATCGATGTCACATAATTCCAGTTGAATTCAAACGTTAATCTCAAACGTTAGATACTACGAAAAGGAGTTAACTTGCCAGCTTCGAAAGAACTAGTTGATCTAGGGAGCGAGTAAACTCATTTTAGTTCTCCATTCATTTCTTTATTATTTCCGGGGTCATCGTGAAAAATACAAATAAATATATGCAGAATTAAGGAATCAATCCCCAAAAGTGGCAAGCTAACTTCTTTTTGCGGTATCTAACGTTTGTAATTAATGATTCTTTTAGRATTGGAATTCAACGGGAATTATTGGACTTCGATTTCTCACTGCATCCTTCTTATTTTGTGGGACTTTACCTACTTCAAACAACTAAAATGTTGTCGAAACCATCACAGCTTGATTTATTCAAGCTAGAGCGTTTAGTAAGCAGCTAGTGCTTAGCGAAGAAATGTTTTATACATGTTCTCACTGTAACGGCATCTGCCTATAGTTTTTAATTAGATAGTATAATTCGTATCCATAATTTCCTGTACGTCACTGACATATGTATCACAGCCCGCAGTCACGTGACATCAGCTTTTATATCGCAAACCATGTATTTGTAATTTCATAAGCTCATAGAAATTCGACGGGTTTCAACACTGTAACAACTAGAAGCTACCTTCTCCTAACGTTTACACAATAAAGAAGCCTTGTGGAATTCGTGAGTTCCTTCACTTTAGTTTCTCTCCTACCTCACGGAGCTGACGCCGCTACACTCACTATGCATAAAACCATATATATTTGTATGAATTTCCACAGGAAGACAAGCAGCTGTAATTTTGCTTACCTCTCTTCGCGTGGTTTGGATTACAAAATCAGTCAAAGTCTCAAACGGTATGTCATCTTCTGCAACAATCAGGGTCCCTGCCAGAATAAAAACCGTATAAACTCCGCAAATGAGCAAAAAAATGTACAATACTTTTAATGACATTGCAGCAGTATAAACCTACGTTCGATAGATTGTCCTGGTAGGCCAAGTACGTTCGAAGAAGATGGATTCGTTTCCATTTTTGAACTCCAAGATTGCGTGAGTAATCTGAGGTTATTGGAGGTGATCGAACAAATTATGCAACWGTGTCGCTCACTCCGAGGCCTGACAATGTAAGGAAATTGTCCATGCATGTCACAGTTAGATATTTTTTCAGATTTTTTTTTATGCGAGTGGCGCTTGCACGTATATGTGAAAAAGTGAAATGTTTCAAAGGTACGGTTTTGATGAATTATATACGAACACGTTTTTATCCAAAGATTATTTATACTTAAAATTCGATTAGAAATATATTTAATTGATTTTTCCTTTCATTGCGCCCAGTATGAAAAGTTTGCCAAAATGTATTTCGGAACGAAACCGTATTCATAATTCCGATCCAAAAAA